CCAAGGAAATCAGTAGCGCCTCTCCCTCCGGTAGTGGCAAACAGAGGGGGCCCGGGGACTACCTGCACTTTTCTCCCGATCAACAGTACAAATCCAGCGGCGTCCAAGCCAAAATTGTAAATGACGAAGGTACCGACCGGAAGTACACGAGCCCTGTTTACCCCTGGATGCAGCGGATGAACTCCTGCGCTGGTAAGGCATTTCGATGGGGGGGCGGGAGGGGAAGGAAAAGTTTCTTTCCCCAAGGTTTTTTTTTTGTGTGTGTGTGTTGTGGATTTTTTTTTTTTTTTTCTTAGATAAAGTACAGACTGCTGGAAAGACACAGTTCCTGCAGGCAATGTGTAACACGAAACCTTCCCAGGTTATTTTAGACCTGGCACGTTGGCACCCTGGGAACGGTGGCCGAGAGCCCAGCCTGTGGGTTCACTGGTGAAAGTTACTGGGGAATCCTCAGGAAGCAGAAAAAAGGAGAGGAAAAAAAAAAAAAGAGAGGGAGAGAAAAAGAAAGGGGCAAGACAGTTTTATCACTCTCCTAAAGCCACCCCAAAGCCTCTGCTCTGCTCCTTCATTGTCAGAGAGCGATGCAGGGAATATGCCCTCTGTACTGAGGATCCAATGCGTTTGTGGCACATTCCTACTCGCCCCCCTCCCCCAGCTCATTAGCCTCTAAGTATTGGATATTGAAAGCACGTTTCTGGGGCCGTGGGCGCAGTTCCATGGCATCGTGGATTTTCTCTGACTTACAAGTGAACTTCACATAATTGAGATATTCTGTCCAGGAGCGGTGCTGAGGGGGAGAGTTGTACAAGGGTGACATTGATTTTTAATAATCCCATATTAAGACATTTGCTTCCAGTGTTTGTTAATGACGCCCCTCCTCTCCCCTCCTCCCTAGTTTATGTTTGCTGGACTGTGGGTCGAATTTCTTTTTTGGAAAGTTAAACTTTTAGCAAGACCATTCTGATGTTGTTTTGCATTCGAAGGCAATAAATTCCAGAGCAAATGGTAAATGCTCTTCTATGATCTTTAGCTGATGTCTATAATTATACTTAAATTACAGACCCTCTCTAGTCACAGCCATGGCAATAGAGTGTGTTTGTGTAAACACACCCGCACAGGCGTGCACACACACACGCACACAAACATACACATGCGTGCAGATCCCCGGATCGCACACGTGTGCGTGTGTGTGCGTGTGTGTGCGCGCACAGGCTCTCAACGCGCAGAGGGTAGACGCTGCTCAGCGATTCACGCGGCTGCTGCCTACTCCGCTTTCCTTAGGTCCGCCTTAAAGCCTTTTTGTATCCCAGTTGCCCCACCACCCTAAGCCCGCTGCACATCCGCATTTACAGCTGGTCAGGCAGGAGAAAAGGAAAAGAGGGACAAACGACAACAGAAAAAGGCCTCCAGGAAACCAGAGCAGCCCCCCCAGCTCCCGTGATTGTGCCTGCAAAAGCGGGCAGAGTATACTAACCGCTC